GAAACTACTGACAAGCTTCCAACACCTTAGGAAAAGCAGTTTGAGGAGGTGAGCTCTTTCACCTAACCTGGGTAATGATCAGGTGGGAGGATGTTGTGGTCTCCACTTGACAGGTGGGGAACTTGAGGCGGGGGAGGGGGCTGAGGTCACGTAACTTGTAATTGGAGAAGCCAGAATTTGAACCCCATCTGGTTCTGAAGGCTGTGGTCTTTTCCCTACATGGGTGCGTGGGGCCACATCTAAATGCTTTATGTCATCCTGCTTTCCACTGGCAGCAAAGTCCGTCAGAGATTGGTGAGTGGATGAAGCTCACATTTTGTTGAGATGATGCTTGTGAGGGCGAGAGGTCTGTGTCTAGCTTCATTTCTATGTGTGTGGATGCCCAGCTGTTCCAGCACCACCTGTTGGAAAGACTTTCTTTGTTCCATTGTATTGTATTTGCTCCTTTGTCAAAGGTCAGTGAACTGTATTTATGGGGGACTAATTCTGGGCTTCTCGTTCTGTTCCATTGATCTCTTTGATTTTTCTTTCACCAAACCACACTGTCTTGATTACTGCAGTTTTTTATAGTAAGTCTTGAAGTTGGGTAGGGTCATTCCTCCAAATTCTCCTTCAATCTCATGTTGGCTATTCTGGGTCTTTTGCCTTTCCGTATAAACTTTAGGATCAGTGTGTTGATATCCACAAAATAACTTGTTGGGATTTTGATTGGGACTGATTTGAATCAATAGATCAAATTGGGAAGAACTGACATCTTGACAATATTGAGTCGTTTTATCCATGAACATAGAATGTTTCCTTATTTAGTTCTTTTTGTTTTTCAGTGTTTTATAATTTTCCTTGTAGAGCTTGTACATATATTGTTAGATTTATACCTAAGTATTTCATTTTTGGAGGTGCTGATGTAAATGGTATTGTGTTTTTTATTTTCAAATTCTACTTGTTCATGGCTGGTATATGGGAAAGCAGTTGGCTTTTGTATATTAGTTTTGTATTCTGAGACCTCGTTGTCATCAATGTTGGCAGCCCTGTCTTTCCATTGCTTAGGCCTCATTCCAGCTCTCCCTGCTGTTGAGATGCCCTGAGAGTGGCCTTGAACTTGTAGGGCTCTGTGCCTCTGCTCATGAGTTAACCTGCCTGTAGCGCCCTTGCCTGTTGTCTCTGCCTGTTGAAACCTTACCCATAGATCCAGAACCCGAGCTGTCGGAAATCCCTGGGGATGCCTTCCCAACACCCCTCCACAGAATTGCCTCTCTCCTCTTGGTCCCGGTGACATGTTGGCTCCCATCTCGAGTTCAGCACCTTTCATGCCCTGGCCTATAGTGGGGCAGCTTGATTATCGCTCGCTCTCTCTCTCTGCAGCCTTGCCAACCCCCAGGGGCAAGGATGGGGACTTACTCATCAGCCGCTGGGGGCCTAGTTCAGCACTGTTCATGCGTTCATGCGTTCAGGGACTGAATTCAGGTAGTTGAATACAGTTGATCATGCTGGGGCTTCAATAAAGCCAGGCCACTGGGATTTAGGCTTAGGGACCTCACTGTCTTAACTTGTTTGGGAAACCTTGGAGTGTCACAGAATAGAATCCATTACTGACATTTCTCTGTGGTCCACATCACCTGTCACTCGGGGCGGGGGGCAGAGAAATTAAATTCACGCAGCGAGGCTGGCTTTTAACTCACAACACCCTCTTGGATGTTGTCACCACTGGACAGCCTTCTACGAGCATCCGGTCTCTGCTCAGGCCCTACATGGGAGACAGCCTAGAGGAGACGGATCAATTTTTTTTTCTTTTAAAACCACAGACGTGTGGCTTCCTCTTTCTAACTCTTGGATCTTGCTGGCTTCAGGGTTTCAGGTGATGCCCTGAGGCTGATTCTGCAGTGCCTGTCAGAGTCCCCAGGATCTGTCTGTTCTTGCTGAGCTGGATACAGTCTCTCTCCCAGGCCTCTGCCACCATTCTCTCCTACTGTTTTCTCTTGACTAGGAATTATGCTTCTCTGATCAAAAGCTGCTCATTTCCAGAAGGCTGATTCTGTTTTTTTTTGTTTGTTTGTTTTCTTTTTTTTTTTAAGAGTTGGTTTGGAGGACAATTTATTTTAGGCCTGTTAAATTTGATTGGACTTCCCCTTCATTGTTATGTATCCTTAGCAGCTTCAGATTCATTTTGAAAAAAACAGTTCAGTCTAATTTGTGACAACTTGTGTGACTAATTAATGCTCTGCGGTACACCATGAAACTTGTAAGGTGCCACACAAATGCCAAATCATAACACGTGTCCTGTTTGAAACTGTCTTAGCAAATTGAACATCTGTATTACAGTAATATACTGTATTAGTAAATGGAACATCTTTTATTGATTCACCTTGTTAAGCAGGAAAATAATCCTTATGGCTTTATAAACCTCCTGTAAGTTCTAGTAGGTGCCATTTTGAACATGAATTTAATTGAATAAATGAAGGCAGGTGTCAAACATTTAATTGGCCCTTCTCTCTCAGCCAGCTCAATCAATTTTGGAACTATTGTTGATGATGTAATTCACCAATGATATGAAACTGACATAGTGGATTAGATGCTATTGGTCTTTGGGGAGGTGGGGCTGGCTGGGCAGAGTTAATGCTTAATAACTGACTAATGTCATTGTAACCTGGTCCTTACAGAATTTTCTACTAAAGTTCCTCAAAAAGCAGGCAGAAATAGGGAAGAAGGTGGTAGCAGGCTTAACCTGATTGGCCCACAAAATTGGTTTTAAAGTCTTGAGCCTTATATAAATGTCCAAATGACTGCTGTTTTCTGTTCCATGTTATTTTCCTACACATCTTCAGCTAAAAAGATTTGACTGGGAAGGTGCATCTTTTTATTGTGTGGCTTCTGGACCCCTCAGGCTCAGATGCCTGGCTTGAGAAGCTCGTATAAAAATGGCATTTTTTAATAAAAGGGGTAGAAAAAAAGATACCAGAGGAGAAATTGTGAATTGTGGTACATCCAGACAACAGAATATTATTCAGTGCTAAAAAAGATTTTTGAGATCTCTAGCCAGAAAAAGACAGGGAGGAACCTTAAAGGCATATTACTAAGTGAAAGACGCCAATCTGAAAAGGACTACAAACCATATGAGTCCAATTAAATGACATTCTGGAAAAGGCAAAAGTATAGAGACTTAAAAAAAAAAAATTAGTGTTTCCCAGGGGTGGAGTGGGGGATGAGAGCAAGGGGTTAATAGATGGAGACCAGAGAATTTTTAGGGCAGTGAAAATACTCTGTATGATACCATAATGATAGATGCATGTCATTATACATTTGTCCAAACCCATAGAATGTAGAACAAGAGTGGACTCTAATGTAGATCATGGGCTTTGGGTGACTCTGATGTGTCTGTGTCATCAGTTGTAATAAATGTTTCTACTCCGGTGCAGATGTTGATGGTGGGATGCTATACGTATGTGCGGGCAGAGGGCACATGGGAAGTCTCTGTAACTTCCTCCCAATTTTGCTGTGAACCTAAAACTGCTGTAAAAAATGATCTTAATAAAAAAAAAAAAAACCCAGAAAACAACCAAAGTAATTTTGGTGTTTAAATGGAATCCCTATGATTAGATTTGCCTTTGGAGTGGCTACTTGGTAGGGATGGATCAGTGGGGGAGACTGAGGCAGGGAACCAGGTGATGTACTGTCACGGTCTTCTGTGCATGGTGGCCTGGACCCTGCTGGCATCTGGGGTTGGGGAGGAGGGGATGGAGCCCATCACGAGGTGGCAGGTGGAACTGATTGATTTGGTGGCAGGGGCATGGGTGGGGCAGGGGGAGGGGGGAGAGCTGACTTTGATCAGTTGTCACTGAGCACATTTGACACATAGGGTTCTGTGGTGGGTGTTTCACACCCAGTCCTCACTGGAACTTGTCAGCCACCTTGGGTGATCAGTTTGGGCAACTCTGATGAGGAGCCTGGGGCTTAGTGAGGTTGAGGTTGTTCCAAGGTCACCTCTACAATAGCAGGACCCTTGTCCAAACATGGAATGGGCAGAATCCACAGGCCTCAGGGACTGTCTAGATTGGGGTGGGGCAGGAGTAGGGGAGGGAGAGATGTCTCTCTTTCTTCTCCTGCAGATCCAGCCCCAGAGCATCCTTATTCAAAGGCACTCCCGCCACCCTTGCATGATTCACCCCATTTCCTAACAGCTGACTCAGCTCTGGCCCCCCAAGAGCACCACACTTGGAGTCCATGGCTCACGGGTGGACCCACCTCAGGCCCCCCTTGCCGGCTGCCTTCAGGCTACTTTACCTCTCAGAATGTCAGTGTCCTCCTCAGAAAAACGCGGGTGGCAGTATCACTGTGGGAAGGGGAAAAAATAAATCATGGAAAAGAAGCCAGTACCAGGCCCAGTGCTGAGGGCGATAAGAAGATTCTGTGCTCGAGGGGCGCCTGGGTGGCTCCATCGGTTAAGCATCTGCCTTCAGCTCATCTTATGATCTCAGTGTCCTGGGATCGAGCCCCACGTCAGGCTCCCTGCACAGCGGGGAGTCTGCCTCTCTCTCTCCCTCTGTCCCTGTCCCTGCTCATGGTCTCTCTCTCTCTCAAATAAATAAATAAAATCTTAAAAAAAGAAAAAGATTCTGTGCTCGATGACTTTCAATAATGTTGGATTTGACTCTGTGGGGAGTTCTGAGTTGTGGCACCTAACTGGACTTTGGAACAAAAAGATGTAATTCTTTTCCATCGAATTTGGTGTGTAGCACTTTTTGCCCAATAACATCGGGACACATGCCTACTGTTTTGGAGGCGGGAATGGGCCATCTGCGAAGACCTCTGTGAAGACCTTCAGGTGAGAGTGGTCGCTCCGTCCTGGTCAGTGCTCTTGGAGAACTTAGCTCTAGAAACATCACCTGCTTTACCCCACATACTTATCTGTGCACCTTGACAGTGGCTGGAGGCTGGTGAAACCGCCCCTCTAGCGGCCGGCTGGCTGTGCGCATATCATCATTTTCTCTTGGCTTTCTCTTTAGTGGTGGCTGTTTACATAAAGGAGTCCTGGTGGCCCACTGAAGACGTCCTACGAACCTCTGATGCTGCTAGAGAAGGTCTGATGAAGGTGAGGTGGTGTAGCCTGAAATAGTGCAAAACAGGTTTTGAAGTCACTGTGCTTATTATCATGTTAATAATTGAAAGCAGTCTGCCTCGGTGGATTAATCTTCTAAGGCTGCTGAAACAAAGTTTCATAGACGGGGGGGGGGGGGGCCGCGCTGAAACAGCAGAAATGTGTTGTCTCATAGACCCTGAGACTATAAGCCTGAAACCAGCGTTCCTTCTGAGGGCCATGAGGGAGAATCTGTTTCAGGCGTCTGTCTTGGCTGCTGGGGGCCTCAGGCGTTCCTTGGCCTGGAGATGGCCTTCTCCCCATGTCTTCACATCATCTTCCTTCAGTGAGGGTCTCTCTCTGTGTTCAGATCCCCCCTTTCTATATGGACACCAATCATCTTGGATTAGGGCCCACCCTAATGACCTCATCTTCACTTGATCATCTGCAGAGACTCTATCTCTAAATAAGTCACATTCCCAAGTACTGGGCGTTAGGGCTTGCAACATCTTTCTGGGGGATGAGATTCAATCTAGAATGCCCTGCCAGTAAGGAAAATAGTAATAAAACGCTGTATGCAACAGACATCAGGCTATTGGCAGATCTCTCTTACCTTCCTGAGTGGCCTCTCATGTCTTCGTTTTAAAACTTAAATCCCCATGGTCTCTCTAGTGTGTAGGAAAATTCTGCCTATTGCATCCAAGTAATGTTTTTTGGTACTTACTCGGAGTCAGACATTGTGTTAGGTACTCGCCTATGTCCTCAGACTCTTTATAGGTATTATCTAATTTTAGAATCCTCAAGGTATTTGTTTTGCAGATGAAGAAATTGAGGCCGAGCCACACAGCTAGAGAGTGATTGAACTGGAGACAAACTCCAGTCTCGTTGATGTCAGCCCTGGAGGTCTTTAATGGTCTGTGGCTTTATGGAGCCATTGTAAAGCCAAAACCTAGGATGGCAGGGGTGAGGGCAGGTGCCACAGCAGCTCCTCAGAGTCCCTGTGGTGTCTGCTCAAGTGCAGTTTGGCTGGGTCACCAGCTGACGAGAAAGGTAGTAACTAGTGAAGAATTTAGACTATTTGCCTCACGTCTGTCCATTTTCATTTGATTGGCATATTTATCTTAATTCCATAGGTGCTTCTTGGCAGTCTTGAAATGGTGGATCTGTCCACAGTTGTTTGGAATTCCACTTGATCTCCCTCATTGGGACCTACAAAAATAATGAAGTATCAGTATTCTTTTGGGTTTGGTTTAGAGAACGAATTGATAATCTGGGTTTTTTCCTTCTCTTGAACAATTTATTTTTTTTTTTAAAGATTTTATTTATTTAATTGACAGAGAGACAGCAAGAGAGGGAACACAAGCAGGGGGAGTGGGAGAGGGAGAAGCAGGCTTCCTGCTGAGCAGGGAGCCCGACGTGGGACTCGATCCCAGGACCCTGGGATCATGACCTGAGCCGAAAGCAGTCGCTTAACCAACTGAGCCACCCAGGGGCCCCTCTCTTGAACAATTTAAAAAAACAAAAACAGGGCGCCTGGGTGGCTCAGATGGTTAAGCATCTGCCTTCGGCTCAGGTCATGATCCCAGGGTCCTGGGATCGAGTCCCACGTCGGGCTCCCTGCTCCTTGGGAGCCTGCTTCTTCCTCTGCCTCTCTCTCTCTCTCTCTCTCTCTGTCTTTCATGAATAAATAAATATTAAAAAAAAATAAAAAACAAAAACAAATTCAGTTTTTTTCCCTTTAAACAACAACTTCATTGAGATATAATTCACATACCATAAATTTCACCCTTTCCAAGTGTACAATTCAGTGATTCTCAGTATTTGCACAGAGTTGTGTATCAGTCACCACTATTGAATTCTAGAATGTTTTCATCACCCCAAAAAGAAACCCCTTACCCGTCAGCAGTCACCCCTCATATCCCTCTTTCCGCAGCCCCTGGCAAGGAATCTACTTTTTGTCTCTATGGATTTGTCTATCCTGGACATTTTGCATCCCTAGAATTGTATAATATGTAGCCTTTTGTGTCCGGCTTGTCTCACTGAGCATAATGTCTTCAAGGTTCATCCACATTATAGTGTGTGTTAGAGCCTCCTTCCTTTTTATGGCTGGATCATATCCCACTGCATGGCTACAGCATGTATGTTTATCCATGTATCTGTAGATGGACACATGAGTTGTTTCCACCTTTTGGCCATTAGGAACGATGCCACTATGAACATTTGTGCATAAGTTTTTGTGAGCTTATATGTTTTCAATTCTCTTGGGTATATACCCAGGAGCGGAATTGCTTGTCATATGGTAATTCTCTATATAACTTGTTGAGGAACCACCGAACTGTTTTCCACAGCAGGTGTACCGTTTAACAGTCCCACTGGTAACATCTGATAGCTTCCATCTCTCCATGTCTTCCCTGACACTTGTTATTGTCTGTTTTTTTAATGCTCTCCGTCCTACTGGGTGGGAAGTGGTATCTTATTGTGGTCTTGAGCTGCTTTTCTCTGATGGCTAGGGGGGTTAAACATTTTTTCATGTACTTACTGGCCATTCATATATCCCCTTTGGGAAAATATCTATTAAAATCCTTGGCCCACTTTTTAATTGGGTTATTTGACATCTCACTGATGAGTTGTAAACATTTTCCATATATTCTGGATGCAAGTCCTTATTGTATATATTGCAATATTTGATTTGCAAATATTGGTTTCCCATCTGTGGGTTGTCTTTTTCGTGCCTGTTTCCCCTCCCCAGCTTTATTGAGATACATCTGACATAAACATTGTGTAAATTTGAGGCATAGAAGGTGTTGATCTGAAATACTTAATATTGCAAAATGATGGCCACCATGGTGTTGGCTAACACCTGCATCATATTACATAATTACCATTTTTTTTGTGATGAGAACATTTAAGATCTACTCTCTTAGCGACTTTAATATAATACAGTATTATTAGCTATAATTACCCTGCTGTATATTAGATTCCCAGAACTTATTCATCTTATAATTGGAAGTTTGTACCTTTTGACCGATATCTCTCTTCTCCCACCCCCAACCTCTGGTAATCACCATTCTATTCTCTGTTCTGATGAGTTTGGTTTTGTAAGATTTCACATGCACGTGAGATCATGCAGTATTTGTCTTTGCCTGACTTATTTCACTTAGTATAATGCCCTCTAGTTACATCCATATTGTTGCAAACAGCAGGATATTTTCAGGTCTGGTTTTTTTTTTTTTAAAGATTTTATTTATTTATTTGACAGAGAGAGACATAGCGAGAGAAGGAACACAAGCAGGGGGAGTGGGAGAGGGAGAAGCAGGCTCCCCGCTGAGCAGGGAGCCTGATGCGGGGCTCAATCTCAGGACCCTGGGATCATGACCTGAGCCGAAGGCAGATGCTTAACGACTGAGCCACCCAGGCGCCCTCAGGTCTGGTTTTAATTGACGCAGTAGATACTGTTTTTTAAAAGTGTCCCCTCCTCCCACCCCCAACAAATTTAACAGTGGCTTGAGATTCAGCCAATGAGTGTGGGGTACCCAGTGGGATGGCCTGGCGTACTCATTTGTCTTGCTGTTCCGGCCCCTTCCCACAGGTGGGCCAGAGGTATTTAGTGGTTGGGGGTTCTGAATGCCAGGAGGAGTCTGACTTGCTCTTTAAATAAATTTTTTTTTTCCCCCAGAACAAGAGTGGTCACTTCTTCCGTGTGTCAATTCCTCCGTGTTTAGATGAGGGAAACCCCAGATTTTCTGAAAATGTGGCCTATGTTATGGACAGAAAGAAACTTGGATGCTACTTGCACTTAATGAACTGTGTTGTAAAGATTGATCTGCCCCGTCTAGGGAGATAGTTTCCCTCTCCATCTGTAGAATATGGGGTCTTGGCTTTTTTTTTTTCTTTTAATTACATTTTCTTTCTTAGCCAGCTATTCTTCATAAATTAGCAAAAAAAAAAAAAAAAGGCTTAATGTTCTTTCTGTAAACATAATTAGTGGTCCTAATTGAGGGATTAGAACTGGATCTTGGTTTTGTGTTTCCAGAAACGTTTCTAAGTCAGAATCACACATTTCTCCCTGCCCCAACCCGCCCCCCCCCGTAATGAAATTGGATAAATTAAGTGCATTTTCTTTTCTCCTTTTTCTCCTGCCAGTTTTTGATTGGATATTTCCTTTTTGCCAGATGCAATCTGCTTTTCTCTTCTGGCTTTCCTCTGAACTTTTTGGTTTTATAGGTTGAAAAATATAACCTCCCACATCACCCCACTCAGGTTTTGTGACCAGCTAGTGATTCTTCACGTCTGAACTGGATTTGGCTGCTACCGTCTGAGATACAAAATTGGGGTGGCTTCTCAGAGCTGAGGTGGTGTGGTTTTCACAAAACTTTTCCTCATTTAAGATTTGGCTCCAGATGAAGGTGAACTCTTTTGCATTCTGGACCAATTAATAAATTTATTGGCACCAAACTCTTTGTGCCATTTGCAAGAGGGCAGCAAGCTGCCTTATTTTTTATTAGAGCATTTGAAAACAAGTGTTTTTGTTTTGTTTTGTTTTGTTTTTACCCATCCTTCCCCAAAAACAAGTGTTTTAAGGACGACTCAGGCAATCTTCTCCCCTGATTAGTGGAAGAAATTGAGGCTCAGAGAGTTGGCATTGCTAAAGATCTTTCAGCAAATCCAGGCTAAGAAGCCACAGTCACAAATGATGATGATAAAACTTTAAGGATTAAGTATTCAATATAAAACTAAGTGTAGATATTTATATTAAACTTCCCTTTTCCAAAGCCTTGGTTGTAATGGCTGAAGATGCAGAAGGCAACCACGGGCTGGGCTGTCGCAGGTGCACCAGCCTGGGACTCAGAAGCCCTAGCCTGTTGTTTTGAGCCTGCCTACCTCTGACAGAGCCCTCATCCAGCTGTCATAAGTCCTCTTTGGAATAAGGCAGGGAAATCAATAAATGTAATCACTTACCCTCCTTGAGTTTCAATTTCCTTACTTATAAATCAGGACCTCCCCAGCGGGTAAGAGACTCAAATGCTAGCTTGTGGGTGGAAGTCACAGCCCATTTAATGGCATTGATGATCTTGTGGTGATGCATAGGATGGATGACAAATGCCCACACAAGCAGGCTGTCACATAGAAATCTTGTCAGAGTTAAAATTTAATAAAACAGTACTGTCACTTGATCAATAGTTGACTAGGTTCATCTGAAGAATCACATTTAGTGCTGGCTTGTGGTTGTCTGGAGGAATGCATTTAGAAGGACTCTGTGACCATGTCCAGGCTCAGCCACAGAGAGTAGGATTGATTAGTTATGTCTGCTGTGGGTGCCGGAGCTGGAGGCCTCCGTTTATGCCACATATTTGCCACCTGTGGGCTATACAAATGCAGAAAATTTTAACAGGCGGGACCATGAAGTCATTTTGACTTGTTAATGCTAAAGCTCTGTGTGGGCCTGACCCTGACCACATAGTTTCCTCACCTGTCATGACATTGTGGGAGGCAAGAAGTGGTTTCATTTTATAGCCTTAGAAAAAGATGGCCCTTGACTCCTGGTAATTCTCTGGGATCGGGACTGTAGTGTGTGCTCCAAATCTACCACATCACAAACCATTGAAAATCATCTGCTTCTGATGTAGCCATTGATCCCCCCAGTTCTTTTTTTTTGATGGCCCCAAGTCTTTACCATTCTTCTGAGGGCCAGAATTCTGGGACTGTTACTAAAAATGGCAGATTGGATTTATTTCTAGACACATCCAGGGGATCTGCTGAAATGGCTTGCATGCCCCTCCGGAGGTAACTTACTGTTTTGTTGACCTACAGTGGATTATTCTCTGTCTACTTACATTCCATATAGGTGGCCCGGGAGGGAACCTGGGAGACCCCTCTGGCACTGCCCCTCACTCCTGGAGACTGATGGGTGTGAAAGGTCAGGGTTGTGAAAACCCCGGTGAGAAACTATGATTCACATTTTGGCTCTTGAGCATGAAAGGAATCGTGTGATGGTGGCGCACACACCTGGCCCCGATGTGTGGGTTGATTCCAAGAGCAAAATTTATCGGATGTGATTTTCCTCTCTCACTTGCTTGTTCTTTCTTTCTTATTCTTTTTTTTTCCCCTTCAAAGGTTCAGTCATTTGGGGAAAGGATTGTGCTTTTCATTCTAAACGTCGTTATTTTTGGAAGATTGGAGAGAAATTTGGAAGACGGTGACATGTTTTTTTTACCTCACTCTGTGAAGGAGCAAGCAAAGATTCTGTGGCGGGATGGATCAGCTGTTGGATTTTACACAACCAAAAGGAAAGGTAAGGGACACGCTGCCCCGGGTCGGGGCGAGGGGATGGGGTGGGGAGGCTCCCTAGATGTCTGCCTGCCTCCGAGGACTCCCTCAGCACAAGTGTTCCTTGGAGAGAATCTTCTGGCACAGAAGTGTCACTAATTCAGCTGTCCTGTAAATAAACCCAAGTAAACCCAAGGTATGGATTTCATTTTCTCATTGCTCATTTTACTGGCAAATAGGGTGAAAAGCATGTCCTTTTGATTCCCAGGCAGTGCCATGTCCCTCATAAAATGCTTATTGCTGCTAATGGTGTAAAATGACTCTGCAAAGCACGATGCTCTCCATTTCTTTTCTTTAATGTTACCAATTAGCTGTCGGGAAAAATACCATTGCTAATAGCTGACATGTGGCACAAAAGCACACTGGATGCCCAGATTTATAGACATTACCTCAGAGGAGAGGGAGGTCGGCCATGAGAACAAGGTCGGGGTAAAATACTGGGGCTTATTTTTAGGGGCTGCGACGAGAAGTGAGTGTGATACTAGGACCATTTTGCCTCAGGGATTAGGTCTCTTTCTTTAAAGTTGTTTTCTTTAATACTTTCTTGAATTTTTTAAAGGCTGTCAACATCTCTACTCCAAGCAGTCCCAGACCTGTCCTTCAGTTCTTATTAAGTCCTAAATTTGAGCAAGAATAAAGTTTCCCGGTGAACCACCACGGACATGCTGTTCTCCTGGGTTACGTGTTTTTCTCAGGGGGATCGGAAGGCTGATTGTGGTGTTGAGCTTTGTCACACTGTGTGTTTGTTCCACTGGTCCAGGATGGAGCAAATCCACTTTTCTCCCTTTTCTCCCTCTCAGTGTGAGATGACCAGTTTCCCATGCAAGTAACTCTGGTAGTTAACTGTTTGTGAAGGTCAGTCCAGACTCAAGTAGAGAGGTTGGTTGTATCTGCCTCGTTCTTCCCGAGGCTGACCCAGAACTCAGAGTGGAAGGAGGACCTTAAGATGTCGAGCTGAGGCAGACCAGACTAGGTGCTTGGATTTCTGCCTCTTCTTCATTTTCGATGAATTCCACAAATTTGGCGGAAAGTTCTCTGAAGCTGCTTACTGGGTCACGTCGTTTCATCCATGAACTGATTTTTTTAAGTGGCAATTGACTTTTAGTTACTCAATTTATTTCATTTAAGAAGTACAACCGAGTATAAAATTAAATAAAGAAAATATATGCTTCAGGTATACCTTTCCAATTAAGACTTTTTTTTTTTTTTACTGCCTTTTGCTGGATTAGCTTATTTTTGGAGAGACAGAATAAAAATATTTCCATTAGAATAATTACATACATGTTGCCACCAGCAATGTGTGAGAGTTCCTTGCCAATACTTGGTATTGTGAGTCTTTTTAATTTTACCTATTCTACAAGGTGGGAAGTAGTATTTAATTTTGATTTTAATTTGCATTTCCCTAATCGTGAATGATATTGATTATGTTTTCATATGCTTTGTTGATGGTCACATATCTTCTTTAAGTGTCTGTTAAATATTTTAGCCCATATTTTATTGGGTTGTTTGCTTAATGCAGTTTCCTTGTATGTTATAGATGGTAGTTCTTTATCAGATATGTATTTGGAAAACATTTTCATTTTGGCACAACAGTATTTTTCAGAGAGCAGACATTTGAAATTTTGATGAAATCTATTTTTTATCAGTTTACCAATTTTCATTATTCAGTTCAAAATATTTTCTAATTTACTTTGTGATTTTTATGAGTTCTTTAAGTTTTAAATTTCCAGATATTTCAGATGTTTTACTTATTTATTTTTGATTTTTAACTTAATTCTGTTGCAGTAAGAGAATGTAGTCTATTACATTTTAAGATTTTAGAAACTATTGAGAATCGTTTAATGGCCCATTATATGGTCTGTATTGGTAGACATTCCCTGTGGACTTGAAGAAATGTGTATATTCTGCAGGTATTGGGTTTAGTGTTCTGGAAATATCAGTTGGGATAAGGTAATTAATAATGTAATTTAGATTTTCTACATTCTTACTGGTATTTTTGTCTAGTTCTATCAATTTCTGAGAGTTTGTTAAAGTCTATGATTGTGGATTCATCTCTCATTTTAGTTGTGTTAGTTTTTACTTTATGTGTTTTGAAGCTTTGTTATCAGTCACATTTATATTTATGATTTTATACCTACCTGATATATTGACCATTTTATCATTATGAAGTCCCCAATTGTCTTCAGTAATATTTCTTGTTATGAAGTCTGTTTTGTCTGATATTAATATATAGACCCATCATCTTTCTTATGCTTATTGTTTGCATGGAATACATTCTTTGTAGCTTTTTACTGTTAGTCTGTTTATGTCTTTATTATCTGAAGCGTATGTTTTGTTGACAGAATACAACTGGGTCTTGGATTTTATTTATTTATTTATATATTTATTTACTTTTAGATTTTATTTGTCAGAGAGAGAGAGAGCGTGTGCATGCTCACACAAGCAGGGGGAGTGGCCGGCAGTGGGAGAAGCGGGCTCCCCGCTGAGCAAGGAGCCCAATGCAGGACTCAATCCCAGGAACCTGGGACCTGGGACCTGAGATGAAGGCAGACACTTAACCTCCTGAGCCACACAGACATCCCTGGGTCTTGGATTTTAAACCTAGTCTTAAAAATGTCTGTCTTTAAAAAAAAAAAAAAGTCTGTCTTTTGAATGGAGTGTTAGTCCACTTACATTTAATTATTGATATATACTGAGGTCTTCCCTTTTGCAGTTTGTTTTGTGTCTTCTGTATTTTTTGTTCCTCTGTCCCTCCTTTATGTCTTCTTTTATTTTAATCAGATATTTTTTAATATTTCATTTTAATTTCTCTATTGGCTTTCTAGTTCTATATTTTTGCATTTTTAAATTTTTAGTTTTTGCTCCAGGGATCACATATGCATCTTAAACTTTTCCCAATTTACTTACAGTTAATATTGAATTACTTCAGATGAAATAAAGAAATCTTGCAACAGTGTATTTTTGTTTACCTCTTATTTACATAGTGCTATTGTTATATATTAGATCTGTTTATGTTATAAACCTATCATTATGGATTTATAATTTTTAATTTAGTAGTCATATCTTTTAAAATAAATAAATATAGTTAAAATCTTTCTCACATACTTATCTTTTAAAAAAATTTTAATATAGGTCCCACTTGCCATTCAGTGTCATTTTTCCTTTAGGTCAAATTACTTCCTTTAGAATTTGCTGTAGTGTGGTTCTGCTGGCAACAAATATCTCAGTTTTTGTTTACTGAAAATCTATTTTATTTTGCAGTCATATTTGAAGGATAGTTTAGCTGGATATAGAATTATTACTGATAATCTTCCCCCCCGCCCCCCACCTCCAGTGCTTTGAATATGTTTTTCCAGTCTTCTGGCTTTCATAGTTTCTGGTGAAAAGTCAGCCAGTTATTTATTATTATTCCCTCATACATAACATGTAGGTTTCTCTGATTGCTTTCAAAGTTTTCCCTTTAACTTTAGCTTTTTTGTAGTTTGACTGTAGTGTGTGTCTAGGAATGATTTTATTTTTGTTGATCTTTCTTGAGGTTTGGTGAGCTTCTTGAATCTTTATGTTTTCTACCATATTTTGGAAGTTTTGGGCCATTATTTCTTCAGTTTTTTTTAAAATTCTGCTTTCATTGTTCTTTTCCTGGGCTTCCAGTTGTGTGTGTGCTGGGGTGCTTCATAATGTCTTAAGTTTTGTCTCAGAGGTTTTATTCATTTTTCTTCAAACATTTTTCTTTGTTGGATAATTTCTACTGGCACATATTCAAGTTCATTTGCCATCTCCAATCTGTTGTTGAGCCCATTGAAAATTTTTAGTTATTGTACTTTTAAGCTCTAGAATTTATATTATTTTTTGTAGTTGCTATTTCTCTGTTGAGATTTTCCATGTATTTCCCTTTAACTTTTTGAATTATTTTATTTCAATACTTTGAATATATTTGTAAAGCCATTTTGAGGCCTTTGCAAAGTTCAACATCTGGGTCTATTTAAAATTAGTTATATCGACTACCTTTTTGTTTTTTTTTCCCCTTGAGTATGGGTCACACTTCCCTGTTTTTTTTCATGTTGAATAATTTTTGGTTGAAAATTAGATGTTGCAGATATAGTGTAACAACTCTAATTTTTTGGTGTGTGTTTTCTGAGGATTTTTAGATTTTTGATCTAGTAGCTGTTCAACCTGCCTACATTGAAATGGTAGACTTTGTCGCCTTTGTGATCTATCGCTGCTGACATCTGTTTGTGTGACTGCCCATGGCTGTTTCTTTAGCCTGGCCCTGTGGAGGTCTTCCCCGTGACTACAGGTTTGGTGGCCAAAGATTTGAATATGGATTTGGCTTACCTTTTTTTTTTTTTTTTTTTTTTGTGGTTTTGTGTTTTGTTTTGTTTGTTTTTGGCTCCTGCTGGTTTGGGGTTCTGTACTTTCACTGTTCAAGCCCATTTGGCTTCAGCTCTCTGCCACCTGAGCTGTCTCAGTTGAGGAATGTCTGTATTTGAGAAAAGCATCAAACTCTCAGATCTGATCCTGTGTGGTGCCATTTTTCAAACTATCTCTCTGGTCTTTGGCGTATTTCTTGTTGGGTTCCATGGGGGCTCCTTCACTCATGTGTAGGCTAGCTGTAAGCTAGGGATTTGGGCAGTTGCTCTCAATTTGAGTTTGGTTCATTCTGTGATTCTCATGCTGCTTTAACTTTCCAGCTGCTTTCCTAATCCTAAATCTGATCTCTGACACCTTTAACTGGTAATGTTTCAGCTTTTCCCACCAGTGTTTTCTGTAGCTTTGTGGGTTGAGTTATACCCCATGGCCAGTAAACTGCAAACTCATAGGTTTTACCTAGTCCAGTTGCAGTTTTCTTTTCTTTTCTTTTTTTAAGTAGGCTCCATGCCCAGTGTGGAGCCCACCGCCAGGCTTCAACTCATGACCATGAGATCAACACCTGGGCTGAGATCAAGAGCTGGACGTTTAACCAAC